AATTATTGATCATGTAAGGTGGGATGACTCACCATTGCGTAAGAGCTCATTGATGAGATTGTTGTAATATTTGATTCCTTCCTTGTTCACTCCTCCACTTAACTTTCCATCTAATAATTAAAACAAAACCAGAAAATAAAGAAATAAGTGCACCGATAACAATTAAACTGAACTTAAGTTGGACTATATGTTATCGAACTTGAACTTCGACTTCTATTTAATTTTTGTTTGAAAAAAAATATTTTTGCTTAAGTTATTTCAATTAAGTATTTTAATTGAAACAAAAAAAAAATTGTTGAATTATTTGGTAGACAATTTGGACACATTACTTAAGCGAAAACCATGAAGGCAAAAATATTGACGATTGGTCACAAATGTACTTACTTGGTAACAATCTTGACCATGAGATAGAGAATCGATAAGCATCCCACCCCATATTCTTCATAATCCCCACATCTTCCTACAGTGCATAACAAAAAAGAAATCAGATAAAAATTATCAACAGCTTATCTTTAATGTGATGAGTTTTCTTCATGCTTCAAAATTTAATATGTGCATGTTGGGTCATGAACCTTATAGCGGTGATATTGATCAACAGTGATATCCCCATTGCTGCTATCGTTAATCTTTTCTGCAATTAATCATAGAAAATTTATTTATTTAGAGCATAAGAGTAAAAGTAGCACGATTTTGTTATTTTAACTAATTAATGATTTGATTGGACAAACCTGGATATTTGTGGGTGAAGGTATCCCAAATGCTTGGTCCTCTACCACCTTCTTTTACAGCACCTTCATACTGAAATACACAAGAGACACAATGAAGAAGATGTCAATATTCTTGCATGGATCGATGCTTGGTCTGAATTTGAAAGAAAATCCTAATCAAAACTCAAATTAAAGCCCATAAAAGGACTTACTTGGTAAGATCCAGAACCTACACCAAATATGAACCCTTCTGGAAAACTGCTCCTATTGAGAGAAGCAGTGTCGAAATGTGTGGGTGGAGCTCTAATATCAGCTTCGCTAGTTGTGAAAGCAAAGCCAATTAGTAGCTGTATGCCTAAGAGAAAAGAACGTAATTGCATTGCCATAACTTGAGGTTTTTTTGTTGTTGTTGGTAATAATCTTGAGAAGTATAAGTTGGCTCTGGCTGGCATGCTCCGCGGCCTTTATATAGAGGAGGAAGTACGTGGTACAAAGGGAAACTGCAAGTTTCACATTTGAATTGAGTTTGTCTCCTTCCAAAACTCAACTGCTATATTCAAACACGCAATATAAGTCTCCTACTAGCCGTTTGGGTCAAACTGTGAAAAGAAATTTGACACAGAATTGTTTTCTTCACAATTTAAATTTGTAGATTGTTTAAATTATTGGGCATAATATGTGATTGATGAGATCGTTGTAATGACATTATGGTCAAAGAAATGACATTATAACCGCTGAAAGAAAAATAACGTAATTGACAAAGTAATGACATTGTCACTTCTTATTGGGCTCTAAATATGTAGAGGGTAAATTCTTGGGCATATAATATGTGATTATCTTTTCTGCCAAAAAAACAACGTAATTGCCAACCTCATCCTTACATATTTATGGTCAAAGTAATGACATTGCCTTCCACTGTTCCACGTACAATTCTCATAGCAATTTTCTTTCTGTTTACCCTAAACATAAACATGCAGAATTGACTTTTTGTTTACCCTTCTTTCCTTTGGTTTTAATGGTATTTTTCTTCCCATAATAAATCCCTAATTTCTTGTATGATATATTCTTTTATAGGTACAGTTATCCTGGAAATGAAACAAGAAATCAACCCAAAGTAAGTATCAGATTTTGAAAACCCAACCAAAATGGCACAAGGAATAAAAAAGAAATCACATATATTAACAATCTACAAACTTCCAGTGTCAAGAAAATAATGGTCCGTCAAATTCTTTTCAAAATTTGACCCATGTGGTTAATTAGGAGACTAAATCAGAATTTGCAGCTACTCACATTATTCGTGTTTGACTTTTCATCCAAATATGAAACTTTCCATTTGTACCATGACATTCTACAGAGTTGCGCCCTCAACACCCTTCTAATGGCATGCACATGTGTTTTGCAAAGAACTTTATTTCACCATGCCAACCAGAGTCAACTTTATACTTAGCAAGATTACCAACAAAAAACATCTCAAGTTATGGCAATGCAATTAGGGTCTTTCCTCTAATTTCTAATTATCAACTCACTTATTTTCTCATTTTCTGATGTTGGATTCATAATTAGATCTAATTATAACAAGGAAGGAATTAAATATCAATGAGCTCATTCGCAATGGTGACTCATTCGCAAAAGGAAAACGGCTTGAAGACAAGGGTGTCAACTTTTATGGGAAGAAAAATGGCATTAAAACCAGGGAAAGAAAAGGGGTTTTACCACAATAAAATTAAATAAATTTAAAAAAAAAAAAAAGGTCATCGCTGCATGTTCATCTTATTGGACTCTAAATGTGCAAAGGATGAGTTTTCCACGTACGCTGGCTACAAACTTGTTCAAGCACATTTGAAAATTATTATCACTTCTTCACATTCTTCTTTCCTCTAAAATTCAAACTTACCTTTCGAAATCATTTTTTAAATATTTTTTGTAATCTCCTAGAATTTTATAAGGAATCAGTGCTATTATTAATTTTGACATGCATCTACATGTAGAATGACTTTATTTTGTTAAGGCAAAAAGTCATTTCGGTCCTTATAGTTTACCACTTTTACCATCCTTGTAGTTTCAATTCTAAGCAATGCAAGGACAATCCTCAATTTGTTGTCAAATTACTATAATATGAAAGGGCATTTCGCTCTCTCTCTCTCTCTCTCTCTCTCTAGCTGGGGAATGGTTGTGGAGGGGATGCAAGATCGGACTGAAATGCCCCTCTATATTAGAGTAATTTGATAAAAAAAAAAAAAATAAATTGGGCCTTGCCTTTGAATTGCTCAGAATTCAAACCACAATGACAAAATTGATCAAATTGAAACTATAGGGGCCTTAGTGGTAAAATTGGTAAACTAAAAGGCCCAAAAATGACTTTTTCCCTTTTGTTAATGTGAAAATTTTAAATGCTAGACTATCGCTTGTACTCAAAAAAAAGAAAAAAAGAAAAAAAGAAAAGGGTTTCCATTTGTGGGGCAACTCCGCAAAGTGGGTCAATGATCTGAACTCTATAGTTTCTAAATTAGCACAAGAATTATCCTTATGAGAAATTGTTTAGCCATTTGATTATTTTCAGTCTCTCTTTGCCAAAAGTGCCTAATCAAATGAAGCATTTCCTTGTTAAGCCTTACAACAGAGATGAGGTAGAGATTGCTCTGAAGAAAATGTCTCCTTCAAAGGCTCCTGGAATTGATGGAATGCCTGTTGTTTTTTTCCAGAAGTATTGGTACATTCTTGGGGACGAAGTTGCTGATGTATGTTTAAAAATTCTCAATGGTTAGGAAAGTGTGAGGTGCCTGAACAAGATTTTGATAGCTCTCATCCCCAAAGTTGAAAATCCGGAATTTGTGACTCAGTACAGGCCAATATCCCTTTGCAATGTGATCTATAAAATTATTTCTAAGACCATAGCCACCAGATTAAAGTGTGTGCTCCCAATGGTCATATCTGAAAGCCAGAGCGCTTTTGTTCCAAAGAGGCAAATTTCAGTTAATGTCATTCTGGCTTTTGAAACAATCCACGTCATGAGAAGTAGAAGGGGAAAAAAAGTTCCAAAGATTGCTTTGAAGTTAGACATGGAAAAAGCGTATGATAGGGTTGATTGGAATTTCATTTGTAAAATGATGGAGAAATTGGGTTTCCCTGAGGACTTTATTAAGCTGGTCTTGGGGTTGTCGAAGGTAATATTATCCCACACAGGGGGATTAGACAAGGAGATCCCTTATTTCCCTATCTTTTCCTCATTTGTGCAGAGGGTTTTTCTTCGCTTCTTAAACAGGCAGAGCTTTCTGGTGAAAAGCGATTGAAGTTGCAAGGGGGGCCTCTCCAATTTCTCATTTGTTTTTTGCATATGACAGCCTACTTTTTCTTGAAGCAACACCTCAGGCCTGTAGAACCCTTAAAAGGGTGTTTGAGATTTATGAGGCAGCAGCGGGGCAAAAAATAAATTTGGAGAAGTTAGCAATTGCATTCAGTCCGAACACTCCTGTGCATTTAAGGAATGAGGTTAGCAGCATTATAAAGATCCCAATTGTTGAGTTTCATGAGAAATATTTGGGATTGCCAACAGTGATTGGTAGGAAAAAGAAAGATTGAGAAAGAAGCTTAATGGCTGGAAAGAGAAATTGTTTTCAAAATCAGGAAAGGCTCTCCTTATTAAAGCGGTGGCTCAGAGTATTCCACATTATGCTATGGGAGTCTTTAAACTTCTTGTAACATTTTGTGCTTAGTTGAATTTAATGATCTCTAAATTTTGGTGGAAGAATTCAGAGTATTGCAAAGGTATTAGCTGGGCAAAGTGGGAGCATATGTGTTTTGCAAAGGATGAAGGTGGACTGGGTTTTAGAGATTTAGAGTTTTTTAACAAAGCGCTTGTGGCTAAGCAATGTTTGAGACTTTTCACAATGAACAGTCCATAATTCACAAGGTGTTAAAAGCTCGATATTTTTCAAATTGTAATTTCTTGGCAGCTGGTAAAGGAAGAGCTTCTTCTTATGTTTGGAGATCTTTGATTTGGGGTCCCGAATTGCTTTTGATTCGGATAAGGAAGAGGATTGGAGATGGACAAGATACTCTAGTCTATGGAGATGCACGGATTCCTAGACCTACTTCTTTTCGCCCTTTTTCCCCTCAAGTGCTGGATCAAGAAACTAAAGTAAGTGCTTTTATTTTTCATATTTGGGAATTGGAATGTTGATTTACTAAATCTGTATTTTCATGTGGAAGATGTTAAGGCCATTACCTCTATCCCTTTGAGTGTTAATTATCACAAATATAGATGGATTTGACATTATACAACTAACGGAATTTATTATGTGAAAAGTGGTTATAGGCTAGAGATGTTAAAAAAAAGGAGTGTAGTGGGGCTGTTGGCTCCTCTTCGGAACTAAGAATACGAAATGCTTTCTGGAGAAAAGTTTGGTCCCAAGAGTTACCACAAAAATTCTTATATTTTAATTGAAGAGCTATTAAAAATTATATTCCTTGTAAATCTAATATGCTAAAAAGGAAAATAATCTCTTATGACTCCTGCCTCATTTGCAATGTGAATTCTGATAGTGTATTACATGCACTGTGGAGTTGTCCTAGTGCCCAAAAAGTTTGGAAAATGGTGCAGGGAGGTTTTTACAAGTGTGCACTTTTCCAACTATGATGATTCATTTGAAGTTGCCACTATTTATGTTTCCAAGTACGAAATGCGCTGGAGTTTATGGTAAAACAGAAATAAAGTGATTATTATTATTAATGATTTCCTCTTTCGCAAAAATAAAAAAATATAAACAAAATGCTATGTACATAGTAGTACATGATGCAAATATTTACAAATCAAACAGGAAGCCGAGATATCGATTTTTTGGACCTCTCGGCCTTCGCATTCAGACAATCGAACGGCGTTTTAGCAGACCTTAACGACGTCTTCCCAAACACACCATCTCCGTCACCGCCTTACTCCCTTAGGAGACTTAACGGTAACGGAACTCCCCCTAGCCAAAAACGAGGGCGTTCTTAACAAAACCCATGAGTCGAACCACCCGGTTTGATTATCCACATTGCTTTTCGCTTCACCGCCGCCGCACCTATACCCCTTCCTCGAACTCTCAAGGCGAGGCAAAACGACGTCGTAGCTATTCGAACGTCTCAGCTTATTTATCCCGAGCGAAATCAGCTGTCTCCTCACCTCCTCTGGCAGTCTCAAGGTGTACCGCTCCGTGTTCCCTCCGAGTTGACTCAGTGAGTGACCCGTCGAGTGCGATCTGGGGAACTTTCCAGAGATTCCCGACCTCGCTGTATGTGTAAGGTTCGCAGTCTCAACCGCTTGTGGGTCCCTGCTCTGATTTTCATACACATTGACCACGACGGCGTCGTTCCGAGCCTCACCGACTTCAATCTGGCTCGTCGTACTCGAACTTTCCAGATTCGGATCGTTGTGTGGCTCGGGAACCCGCGAGTTCGATTCGGC